ATATATATATATATATATATCCCGTAATACAGGATGGCGATATCGCTGGTATTTGATGGTCACGTAAGAAACGTGAATAATCTCGGGCTCGACGTCTTTGTAACATTTACCATCGCGGCGTTTACCGAACTACCCGCCGACACATTCCTTACTCTCGTTCTCGATCGATGGGGTAGACGGTGGTTGGCTTGTGGTACCATGGTAATTTCCGGAATTTTCAGCATTTGGGCAAGCGCGGTTTCAAACAGTGAGTGCTGCTGAATTACTTTTCTTTTTATCTAGTAAACTAGAATCCTGTCCGAGGCAGATAATGTTCCAAATAATACACTTACGTTTAAAATACGTTTAATAACATTAGAAATAGAGTAATAAACATATAAACTGAAAAAGTTTAAAACTTACGTTTTTAATCTATTTAATAAAAGGATTTGTTAAATAATTTAAAAGCTGTTGTAAGATATTTGTAACGTATATTAAATGATTTTAGCTAACTTAAAATACAGTTTTTATACGAAACATTTTGACGATTTGATAAATGTATATTTAATAACGTCTATTTAATACAGTATAAAAACATTTCGGTTAAATGTTTTTTAAATGTAAATTGTTTGCTTGGGGTTTTTTAAAAAACCAATTCATGAAATAAAATTGTAGACATTTTTGGAAATTAAAAAGATTAAAATTACAGACTGTGGGGAATTACAACTAATACATATAGTCTTCATCAAGATCGTTATGCAATTTATATGCAATTTTCCTTCCGGATTTCCATTTCAGATATTTATTCGGCCACGCTGGCGATCGTTGGTAGATTTTGGGTCAACATCTCGTATAACATTGGTCTTCAGTATGCAGCCGAAGTGTTGCCGACTGTTGTGAGAGCTCAAGGGGTCGCCTTGATCCACATAATGGGATACGTCGCGAGCATACTTGCGCCTTTTGTCGTTTACCTGGATACTGTTTCATCCATTCTACCACTGTTGGTTCTGGGCGTCATAGGCGTTCTGGGCGGTCTTCTGACACTCCTGTTACCGGAGACACTTGATAAAGATCTACCACAAACCTTGCAAGATGGCGAAGATTTCGGAAAAGATCAGAAGATATGGGATATGCCGTGTCTCTCGAAGTATGTGTCGAAGATGATTCTTTCGCATTATTTTGCAAAACTTTTACGATACCCGATGCATTCTTTTTTCAACAAAATAATCACGTCTTTTGTTCAGATTTTCACTCTTTTTAAAGTAAAATTTTTACTCTTTTGGAATAAGATTCCGGAAGGAAGTTTTTGGGATGTAATCTCAAAGATGGAACCTCATTCCAAAAAAGAGATTGAGATTTCACTCTTTCGAAGTAAACCTCATTCCAAAAGAATAAACTCATTTTAAAAAGAATGAATTGGCCATTCTTGAATATAGCGGTCGTATTTTCACTCTTTTTTTCAGGCTAAATTTTCAGTTTCTTCGAGTGAGATTTCACTCCACGAGATTTAGAGAGTATATTATCCTTCAAAATTCTTCTTTCCTAATTCTTTTTAAACGTCTGTTTCAAATTGAATAAATTCCCTTTATAATTTCACTTTTCTGTCTAATGGAATTCTTTTTAGCAGAGAGTAGCATATTGTTTCTTGAGAAGAAGTCACATTTATATATTTTCTTTTTTAGAAAAAAACCTGTAGACGTGGAAGTGCCGACGGTAGCTGTCTTCCGGACGTTCGAACGCAGCAGTCTGCGAAGTTCAATGAGAGCATCTATTCGCGGAGAGACCCTGAGGAGCAGCATGATACAAAGATCGAGCATAAGATCACGGAAGAGCGTGAATACGTCTACGGAAGCACAAAGATCGAGCATAAGATCGCGGAAGAGCGTGAATGTGGCCACGGAAGCGGAGAGCAAGTGAATATTCTGAGAGACGCGGCCCTGATTTTCGACATGCTGACGCATTTCCTGTCTCTCCCTTCTCCCCCCCCCTTTCTCTCTCTCTTTTTTCTCTCTACGATTGTTCTTTCCTTCGGAAATGTGTGATACTGAAGCTGTCAAAATCAAATAATGCATACGTCTGTATTATCAATGACAGTTTTAGATTGAAGAAAAGACAAAATGAAGCATCGCTCGCTCTATTAAATTTATTCAATTAAAGGAGGAGAGGATTGTTGCAATTAATTTTAAGTATTGACAGTAGAGAAGTAGAAACGTCAATTAGAAAAAAAACACTTTAGATATCAAAAAAGATAATCTAATCTTCGAACAACATTTTAACTTCTATACATATATATGTCAAAGTATAAATCAATCCATTTTTGTGATTAGTTTCAAAGTAAACGTCATCCCTATCAATATATTTAGTAATAAATTAAATTAAAGTATCAAATTTAATATGTTTTCTTGAGTTAAATTGTTTTTCGTCAAATTAATGATATATTTGATACGAGCAGTGGTGGACCTATAGAAATAAATTGGAATTTAAATTGAGTATAATTTGACATTACAAATTTAACTGTGAATTCAATTGAATTAGATTAGTTTCAACTCTAATTGGCTATTCTATTTCTCTGAAAACTACCGAACCCTTTTAATTTTTTTTATTATATTCTGAACCTTGTGTGTTTGAAATCTGACTTGGATTTCAAGTAAATTGGTAAGCACTTTTATTCGCAGTCATGTAATCTTAAACGCAAGGCTACGATTCCTTTTTATTACGATTCGTACTTATGTATATTTTTACCACTTGTATTTAATAGGAAGAAGAAAACCGATGTTGTATGAGTTTAGAAACGCGTGAAGTTTCGAAACTCTTATTTTGTTCCTTACGAAATATGCATTCTTCGAGGAAAAAAGGAAAAAGAGAAACTATATATAAATATTTTCAGATGTTCCGATTCCGCAGGTGGGAATCATATTGAGAAATAGATGAGAAATAGATAGAAGATAAATATGTACTCGAGACAATGCGAGAACTGCATTTTACATAAATTGATCGCGTCGCTGCAGCTGCGACTCGTCACTGTTGCTCACATACACGTATGTAATACAATGTACATAACAGATGCGAATCAAATTTTTGAGTTATCTCAAATGACGCGACTGGCTGCGCGTTGAATGCGAATGAAGTTCGCACGTCCTGAATGGAAAATTTTCGAATGAAACAGCTTTATTGTGATAACACGCGTATCAGCAATGTCTTCCCGTCGTCAAGAACATTCGCTTAGAAATATTTTCTGCCGAAATTCAGATCTCGAGATTTGTGTACATAAGTAGCATTTTATAATGTAAATAAGGGTAAATTAATTTGTATCTCCCATCGATCTGTGTTAATAAACGTAAACCAATATTCAATCGGATGGATAATTACCGCTATTGGTCGCCTTCGATTAAAAGGCGCTAGTACTGTTTTGACAAAGGTGTGATAATGAATGGTACAATTATTGACAGTTTCTCGATTGCAAACGAGAGAACTATGTTAGTTTAAATTATTTATGCATTGACTATTATCATCGACTCGACAAGTTTACGATAATATCGAGCACGACGAAATGTCTAATACAGACAAATGAGATCATTAATAAGTCGTATATATAATTTAAGGCTTATCACTGCATTGCGGTCGACAATTCATCATTGCCCGTGAAATTTCAGGACCTGTTCAACGAAATTGCGATTCATCATATTCTAACGCGAAGGCTTAGAATCCGAAAAGCATGCGACCTTCCTTTCTATCTCGATTTCGCCACAAGATCAAAGAACGATTGCACGATCGATATAATGAACAGTCATTCATGATAACGTGAATTGCTAATATACGGCGATATTATTCGAGAGTTTTTAGGATAACTCATATTATCAGTTTAGCCGCAAAAAAAATGAAAGAAATTACATATATTCAATCCGGGAAAATAAATACTTATTTTTTTAATTCAAGCTTTATTAAATTAAATGAAAATTAAATAAAAATTTAGATAAAGACAATCTTTCCATCTAAAGACTATTTAATTTTTTATTTCTCTTTTCAAATGTACGATATTAATACGATATGAATTTTTTTCCTAAAGTCGTGTTATACATCATAACAATAAATTATAAGGCTAGTGATACTAAATTTCTTTATATCTAAATTTCGCACAACAGTAATTTTTATCTTTT